AGACTACAGAACCCAACAGGAGGAAATGTCAATGTTTGGAAGTTTAATTAGTGGCATTATTGCCTTATATGCTCCTCATCAAGGATACACTACCCAAAGGAGTCTCAGTGTGGCTTACGAACTTCTTTCCCTTCCCCTCCCCACAACAGACACCCTGTGAGATCGGTGGGGCTGAGTGACAGAAATGGCTCTTTTTCAAGGACAGCTCTGCCAGAACTACGGCTTGCCCAAGGTCATCCAGCCAGGTGCAAGTGGAGGAGTGGGGATTCAAACCCGTTTCTCCCAGATTAGAGTCTGCGCACTTAACCACGACACCAAACTGGAACCTGCATGCTCAAATTTTTAAGAAATCTCGGTGCTCCAGGTGCAGAACTTCTGGCTTGCAGCCGGGCCTGTAGCTATATGTCAGGTAGCCCTGTCATGGATCTGGAATGTGGAGGGAGTTTTCTCCTCCTCGTTCTCTGCTCTCCCCTGCCCAGCCACTGTGCGCTATCCTCAGGCTTGACCTTGTGGTCTCCAGCTGCATTTACTCGGCTGGGAATGTAACGGCTTTTTGCTAAGATTGCTTGCTTCCTTGCTTTGCCGTGTGCGCGAACAATAACCATTGGCTTTTGCTTATTGGGGGGGGGGGATGTTTGGTCTCACTATAAGTCAGAGGCCCTTATACTGCAGGCTATTCCTGACACAAGCTGTATACGTGATCATTGGTACTGGATCCATCAATAAACACTTATCTTCTTATGAAGCCCTGTGTGGTGTGACCTGACTAACGACCCTGACACTATGGTGGGGCATCTCAGGGCTAAGCCCCCTTGATTGAAAGACATGCCCCCCCAGTTTCCGTTATTTAAAATAGGTGTTTTTGGTATGGTAATTTTTCATTTGATTTGTGCCACGGTGTGCCGCATTGCACTGCACACTGGTTGCCCATGACTAGCTGGTGGGGGTTTCCCATGACTAGCTGGTGGGGGGTGAGCCCACAGCCAGCCTGCCACCAGCCTGCCACAATGCACAAGCTGGGATAGGGTACCGCTGGTGCCCCCCATTTGTGCATGGCCGGTGTGTGTGTGTGTGTGTGTGTGTGTGTGTGTGGCCCCTGCATTGAACTAAACCTCTGTGTTGAATTACTGTTTGTACTTCTGTGTGTTTACAAATAATAATCCATTGGTCGTTAAAAACCTTTTTAATTATCCGTCTGTAGCCACCTTGGGAGCAAAGCTGATGAGCTCAGAAATAGCATTGGTTTGGAATAAATTGAGTCAACGAAATTACCTTTTCCTTTTGTCCTTCGGGCCTTTGTTCGAAGAAGCAACTGTAGCTGATTACCTTCAGCCGGCTCCGATCACATCTCCTCCCTCCTCCCTCCGTCTCTTTTCATTTTTTGCCTTCAACACTTAAGTCCGACAAAGAGTTTTGTGTCACTCAAAATGTTCGCGTCTGGCTTTCGGAAGACCATGTGTGTCCCGCATTCTTTTCGTACACGGATCGCCTCGTTCATTTTCACCCTGAAAGATCAAGGGGACAAACTTCAACTGCTCCCAGCAAGTTTCGGCATTCTGGGGTTTTTTGTTCCGGATCTGGCCCGCGCCTTGCTACTGCACATCCAACCTTGAATGTCTCCTCTGAGGATGCACAAGTCGTAAAAGGAGAGGGAAGAGGCACGGCAGAGCATTTTTCTGCTGTGCCGAGCAAATTACGATGTCAATTCATCAAGGCAAACATTTGGGAAAGAGCTCTCTCTCTCTCTCTGCAGTTGCATGAATGGTACTCATTACTGAAAGGGATGAACCGTGAGCCATTTCAATTTTGGGGGTTGTTCCTGTTGGAGTGAGTGACTCAGCGTGCCGGGACATTGGGGAGCGCTACATCACCCTTAGTGTGCATAGGTTTTCTCTCCTTTAACGGGATGCCTCTCTTTGTCTTAACCTGGGAGCTGCCCTCTGCCCTCTTCTCTCTCGCTCCCTTTTGTCCTCTCACTCCCTTTACATGGCCTTCCATGGAGACACATGTCTCTGCAGGTCTCTCTTGTATTTATTAATTTATTTTTGGATTTATATCCCGCCCTCCCCGAAGGCTCAGGGCGGCTAACAACGAGGCACAAGTGCCAGAATTAAAACAGATAAAACAGTCTAAAACCATACAACAATACAGTACAACAACAAAGTGTCAGTGCAAGATGGGGTGGAACTTCCTCAAATGGTATTGGTCCCACAACTTGTCAGCACCCTCTCCTTCCAGGGTCACCTCGCACCCAGATGGAACCTCATCTTAGTGGTAGTGGTGCGATGCTGCAAACATATCGGTGGTGGAATTGAAGTGGCGGCGGCTCCTACTCAAAAGCCTGGCGGAAGAGCTCCGTCTTACAGGCCCTGCAGAACTGAAAAAGGTCCCGCAGGGCCCGGATCTCCTCTGGGAGCTCCTTCCACCAGATAGGAGCCGCCACCGAAAATGCCCTGGCTCTAGTAACAGCAAATTTGATATCCCTGGGGCCTGGAATTTCCAGGAGATGTTGACTCCCCGACCGTAGTGCCCTTGGGGGAACATATGGGGAAAGGCGGTCCCTTAGGTAAGCCGGACCCTGGCCATACAGAGATACAAATGCCCTCATACTCCCACACACGTGATGCCAGACAAGCTGGCCATATGTGATAAGTATTCTTTAAATCAAGCTTCCTTCTCTTCTTTCGACTGCAACCTGAAAGCGAACGGGATCTACTTGAATAAAGATAAAGAAACAATGTGAATTTTGTCTTATGGACCAACTCTCTGATGCTATCTTTTCTCAGACTTCAGACTATACGGATTCCAATTTGATTTCAACTTGGTTTCCCTTCTTGATATCCTCATCTTCCAAAGATGAATCCACTTCAATGTTAGATCCAATAACGATGGTCAATTAAAGTGTTAATTGTACTATTTAAAATTGTTGGTTCTTCTTTATGATGTATTCCTTTGATCCAAACATTTTGTGTAGCATTTGTAGTCTCATGGTTCTTACTACTGTTGTTCTTTGATGTAATGGTTACAAAGGGCCAGATAACGCGGGGGGGGGGAGGCGTGACTGTTTGCCCCCGAGCAAAATAAAGCATGGTAGCCCAATCACACAGTCCCCTGAGTCTTCGCATTTAGGCTGTTAGCTGGCGATCACGTGGCAATGCTGGAGCGTGGCAAAGAAGCGGCGCGGGAAGCATTTTGCATTTGTGTGCATGCACAGTTCTGCGAAGCAGCACTGCTTTCAGTTACGTGTTTGTGCACATGCGCTTGCGACGAGATGTGGACGGGCACCGGATGCCACGGGATACTAGCGCTCCCGCGATCAGATGCCCGCCCCGGATACTAGTGCACTTTTTGAGGCTTTCATTGGGCCCTTAGGTATGTTTTTAACTGTCTTTCTAATAAATAGTTGTTTTTTTGTATATTATAAGTTTTAACTAGGTTTTTAATACTGGCCCTTCATTAGACTTTCGTCTCACCCTTTTGGTTCTTTTTTTTGTTGTTGTTGCAATTTTTTTTAATTTTCCAAAACTACAAGAAAATAAGGAAAGGGAAACTATAAACTACAGGAAAAAGTAAAGATAAGCCACTAAAAACCCAAGAGGTGATGGTCATATACAATAAAATAGCTTTAAGTAAAAAAAAAAAAAGTAATTTGTTACATTGAAGGTGATCGTTAAAGTCGCTTAAATAATTCAAGTCCAGGTATTCTGACTTAATAAAGAGCAATACAAAAGAACCATTAAATATTAAGAAGCAAAAACCAAACTTCAGAGGAAATTGGCATCTCATTTGCCTCTTCTTTCCCTCATTTGATATCCTTGCTTGGGGGCAGGCGCCCCACCCTTTTGGTTCTTGACTCTAAATTTGTTCAACTGCTTCAGACCAACACGGGCGACCAACTGGATCTCTCTTCATTGGAATGGAAGGTAAGGTTCAAACTAACAGACAGGAGCTGAACAGCAGATTAACATGTAACAAGACGAAGACAAAACTAAATAACAAGCTAAGGTTATGAGGTCAACGGCTGTAAAACAATAAATATGTCAAAATAAGACTGAGACTCTCCATTCACTCTAGGCTTGCCAAGTCCCCCCAGGGGGCGGGGAAACCCCTGCCCGAGAGGCCCGTTACCCGCCGCCAGCGGATCGGGCCTCTGGGGGAACCCCACCCCCAAAGCAGGCGACGTGCCCAGCGTCAGCACATCACCCGAAAGTGACGTAGTCGCCTCGGGCGTGTTGGGGGCGAGGCTGCGGTCATCCGAGGGAAAATTCTATGGTTTTCTCTCGGATGATTGTGGCCCCGCCCCGGCGTGCCCAACGTGGTTGCGTCACTTCTGGGTGACGTGGTTGTGGCGCATACACGACACACACTCCCAGACCGCCGCTGAACTCCCCCGGTTTACAGAGGGTAAGGACTTGGCAACCCTAATTCACTCCTGGGGGGGGGTTTGAAATCACTTAATGGCGTGTTTTTTTCTTTCTTTTTTGAGGTGGGTGCAACGGAATAACGGTTTTTTTTTTTACAAAAAACCTGGATCACGAAACTGTGGGGGAAATCGGGCGAAGCCGCAGGTCAAAATCAGCCCCGCGGCTTCGGGTGTGAAATTGACCGATAGAACCGGGGAAAACGGTGGCGCAACAGCGAGGCAGCTCTAGTGCAAAATCAGCCTTCGTGTGCATCTGAAGAAGTGTGTGTGCACACAAAAGCATATACCCAGAATCAGGGGTCATTTTGTAGAAAAAGAGTTGCAGGAGCTCATTAGCACAACTCATTAGCATAGCTTATTTGCATTTGCCACACCCCCTGATGTCGCTGGAAGTGTGTCAGAAGGCAACACCCACCGCTCAGGCTCCACTGGACTGTTTTGGATTGGGGGGGGGAATGTGCAGATCTGCCCTCGCAGAGGAGGGATTGTACCTGAATAAACCTTGGTCTTAAAGGTCCCACTGGACTGTTTTGGATTGCTAGCTATGAGGGGGGGAACGCGCAGATCTGGCCTCACAGAGGAGGGAGAGCTTGTACCTGAATAAAACTTGGTCTTCAAGGTGCCTCTGGACTCTTTTGGATTCCTAGCTATTGGGGAGGGGAAATGTGCAGATCTGTCCTCACAGAGGAGGGAGAGCTTGTACCTGAATAAACCTTGGTCTTAAAGGTGCCACTGGACTGTTTTGGATTGCTAGCTATGGGGGGGGGACGCGCAGATCTGGCCTCACAGAGGAGGGAGAGTTTGTATCTGGAGGGCGGGCCGGTGGGGGGGGGCTCTGGAACTTACCTGGCTGCTTCTTGCTCCTCGTGGCCCTACTGAGGGCTGCTGGGAGCAGAGGGCGGGGCTTGTTGCATGTGCCTGCCCCTGGGCTCCTTACTGCCGGAGCTCCGCGCCTGTGCGCTCCCACAGGAAATGACCCCTGCCCAGAATTAAACTGTTGTTGGTCTCAAAGGTGTTGCCGGACTCAAGCCTTGCCCTCTCGCTGGTCTGCGAAGGGGCCCATCCAGCTTGGATTATGTGAGCTACAGGAACCCCTTTGTGAAGTGGGAACGAATGTACTTCTGTAACATTTGTGACTTTTCACTGGTGTCCGTTCTTGCAGCGGACTGAAAGCGGCCCCGCCTTCTTCGTCCCCTCAGGCCACAGAGCGAAAGAGCCAGGAAGCGTTTCTGGAAATCTGAAACCTGCTGTTCTGTTGCACGTTTCTTGCCCACTGAGGGGATTTTCTGCTCTGGTTCTTTTGAGTCTTCTGTCAGCAGACTTATTCCCTGTGGCATCTGAGTGTGTTCCCCCACCCAAAAAAGCTTGTGTAACCATTTTTTCCAGTATGGCCAGGACCCAGAGAACTACACAAGGACTTGTGTTCAGTTTTGGGCACCACAATTTAAGAAGGATATAGACAAGCTGGAATCAGTGTACCCTCTAAGCTGAGTTAGTGTGAGCTGGCCCACAGGTTTTTAGCCTCCGGCTCACACATTTTTTGTCTTAGCTCAGGAAGGAGGGCTCCAGAGCAAACTAATTTATGTGGCAGCCAAATCGCTTGCTCACAGCTTCAATGCCAGCGGCTCACAAAGTAAAATTTTTGCTCACAGGACTCCACAGCTTAGAGGGAACATTGGCTGGAACGTGTCCAGAGGAGGGCAACAAAGACGGTGAGAGGTCTGGAGACCAAGTCCTGTGAGGAAAGGTTGAAGGAGCTGGGCATGTTTAGCCTGGAGAGGAGACGACTGAGAGGGGATATGACCACCATCTTCAAACATTAGGAAGAACGTCCTGACAGAGCAGTTCCTCAGTGGAACAGGCTTCCACGGGGGGTTGGGGTGGGCTCTCCTTTGGAGGTTTCCCGACAGAAGCTAGATGGCCCTCTGACAGCCATGCCGATTCTGTGAACTTGGGTCATGAGAAGGGAGGGCAGGAAGGGTCACCTCAGGGCTTAGTTCTCATAGCCCTTTCTCACACGCCCATGGAAATGCCGATCGCCACTCGGGGGTCAGAAAGCCATTTTTCTCCAGGCCGGTTTGGCCGGAGATCCTGGAGGGTTTTTTTTGCCATCTTCTGGGCATGGAACAGGGGTCACTGGGGGTGTGGAAGGGGAGGTGTTTGTGAATTTCCTGCCTTGTTCAGGGGGTTGGACTAGACGACCCTGGAGGTCCCTTCTGACTCTACGATTCTATGACTTTCAAGCTTTACCTTAGGGCTGCCAAACTCCAGGTGTGGCCTGGAGTTCTGGAATGACAACACAGCTTAGAGGGAACACTGACTACAATTGATTTCCAAGCCACACAGATCGGTTCCCCTGGAGAAGATGGCCGTTTTTTTGGGGGGGGGGGCAGACCCAATGGCCTCACATCCCTGCTGAGCATCATCCCGTCCCTAATCTTCACCCTCCCGAGGCTCTGCACCCAAATCTCCAGGAATTTCCCAGCCTGGAGTTGGCATCCCGATTACCCTTTGGAGAAGTGTTTCTTGAACTGCCACACAGTGAGCCAAACATGAACCTGAGGGGACTTTGGGATATGGCAGGAAGGGATGCTGAAGAAAACAATTAACCCCTCCAGGTCTAATGTAGGGCTAAAGTAGTTCTTCGCACAGGGGTTTCCTGGCAACCAGAGGGAGGGCTGTGGGTGCAGATATGGGAGGGGGTGTGAGGCCGGCTGTGGTACCACATCTGGTTTTCACCAGAAGTGATGTCGTTTAACTGGTGAACCCTTGTTTATTGGAAGCATGCCAATCAAGGGTTGGCAGGTGCAACCCCCTTGACTGGGGCACGGCGATTGTGATGGTGGTGGGTATGATCTGTGGGTTCACAGAGGCGGTGCTCCCAGGAGTATGGGGGGGGGAGGGGGCCATGCCACACTCAGCTGCTGTGTTTGTCAAAGAGAGGCTGTGTTTGTCAAAGAGATACTCTCCAAGACACCCCTGGGATGCTCCCAGCCGCCGGAGGTTGGTGATGTAGTCCCCCAGGACCTTAAATACCGGTAATAGCAATCAAGGGAAAAGCAATACAATAGACATCAAAACACAAATTGCTGCAAAGTTCTTGCAGTGAAAAAGATGGACAATAATAGACTATAAATGATGAGCTTTGTGATGTTTGATTCTTGTATTTTCAACGACAGGATGCCATCAGAAGAGTGATGACACCAAGAAGAGGAGGACGAACCTCTCGAGCAATCGTTCGTTTCAAAGAGTTTCTTTTTCAAACTTGGTAGCTAAGAGCTGAAACAAAGAGTTGTTGAGTGTAAGAACTGCATTGTGGTTTGGTCATATTAAGAAAAACTACAGAACTGAGATCTGTTTGCCATAAAATGCTAACACACCTTGACACTTTAGTCCCAATCAGATCCCTAGATCAGGGAGAAAATTCCCGGGCATTCTACAGCTAAAGAACATTGGTTACATGAAAAACATGTGACTTCCTGTGAGTAACATAAACAAACATTTAACCCCAAATATACTGAGTGTTTTCAACTTGTAACACCCAACAGCTCCTCTCTTTGCCACGATGATACGTGTCAATTTCCACTCGAAGCCACGCAGCCGCATTTTGACCTGCGGCTTCACCTGATTTCCCCCGTGGTTTCGTGAGCCTGTTTTTTGAGGATTACGAAACCGCGGGCAAAATTGGGCAAAGCCGCGGGTCAGAATGCGATCGCACGGCTTCGAGTGGGAAATTGACACGTACCATCGGGGCAAAGAGAGGAGCGAGCGCAGAGCAGCGGCTGTGGGAAACCGGTCCCATAGTGGTCCGTCAGATGTCCCCCTAGAAGGCTCACAGAATAGGAAACAACAGCTTTCCCCTGCTGCTTCCCCCAGTCAACATAAGAACGTCAGAGAAGCCATGTTGGATCAGGCCAATGGCCCATCTAAGTCCAATACTCTGTGTCACACAGTGGCCAAAAAAAGCCCACTTGGGGCTTTCCCGCATTCTCATTTGCCTTGCTTATGTGTTCCTATTGCTTCAGGTTGTTTTTTTTTTCCTTTTCCATACATGTTTTGCTCCCTCTAGTGATCGATTCGATATTACATTGCTTTACATCCCGGATAAAAAACCTGCCGTTTAAACCTTCAGGAAGACATACTGGGCATGCTTAAAACATTAGCCCTGTAAGCTGCAAACCTACTTTCGATTAATTGACACAGAATATTTATTGACACAGAATATTGACACACAAAGCTCATGCTCATAGTTCTGAGTCGAGGACCCAGGTTAAAACATGAAATGGCTGCAGCAAAACTAGAAGCAGGAGAGGGCCAGTTCCACTGTGGGCCTGATGGAAGCCCTCCGGGGGCCTGATCCGGCCCCCGGGCCACATGTTTGACACCCCTGACACCCCATCTTGCCCTTCTGTTAGCAGAAACCGTGTTCAGCAAGGCAACTGACATAGTGCAAGACTTCCTCATTCTCTCATCCGCATTTATTTCCACCTTTTAAATGTGTCCATCTAGGTAAAGTCCTCATTTTGTAAGGTCCTCACAGGACGATGTAACTCCCCTGGTGTTTGATATCCTTTGGAATTCTCACATTTCCAGGGCCGGCCTCACCTGGTGGCAAAGACCTGAAGAGGACCTTTGCCAGCGCTAAGCCATGGAGGTGAGAACTTGTGTTTTGACCCAGGACCCGTTTTCCTGCAAAAAAAGAGGAAAGAACAAGACTGGAAGGAATTAATTGGCACGGGACATGCAACCGCTCTGATATTCACCACAGAACCATCTGCGATTTGCAAGGCATAATTCAGAGTGACAGATGTGGTGTAAAAATTAATTGGCAAGACTATGCCCCCCTTCCCCTCCCAGCCCTCTTTGGAGAGGACAACCAAACATTGGACGGGGTCTATCTGTAGAAAAGTGCTTTAGTGCCATCTCCTGGTCACTGTATGCTATTAATTCAATTCAATTAATTTATTTAGGAGATTCTTCATAAGAAGAGACCTGCTGGGTCAGACCAGCGGTCCACCTAGTCCAGCATCCCGTCTCACACAGTGGCCAACCAGTTCCTCTGGAGGGCCAACAACAGGGCAGAGAGGCCGAGGCCTTCATAAGAACATCAGAAGAGCCCTGCTGGATCAGACCAGTGGTCCATCTAGTCCAGCACCCCATCTCACACAGTGGCCAAACAGTTCCTCTGGAGGGCCAGCAATGGGGCAGAGAGGCTGGGGCCTTCATAAGAACATAAGAAGAGACCTGCTGGATCAGACCAGTGGTCCATCTAGTCCAGCATCCTGTCTCACATAGTGGCCGACGAGTTCCTCTGGAGGGCCAACAAGAGGGCAGGGAGGCCGAGGCCTTCCCCTGATGTTGCCTCCTGGCTCTGGGATTCAGAGGATTAGTGCACATGGCTAGTAGCCACTGATGGACCTCTCCTCCATGAACCTGTTTAATCCCCTTTTAAAGCCATGTATGCCTGTGGCCATCACTACATCCTCTGGCAGTGAATTCCACATTTTAATCACTCTCTGTGTAAAGTAGTATTTCCTTTTGTCTGTCCTGAACCTACAGCCCATCAACTTCATTGAATGTTCTCGAGTTCTAGTATTTTGGGAGAGGGAGAAAAATTTATCTTTGTCATCTCTTTCCAACCCGTGCATCATTTTATAAATCTTTATCATGTCCCTCCTTCATCATCTCTTCTGTAGTAGTAGTAATTTATTCTGCTGACCATAGACTGTATCTTCAACAGATACTCTAGTGTTGAGTCTGCCCAAACTAAACTCTTGGTTGGATTGATTTTGGGAGACTCAGCTCTGATTTTGGCAAAGTCTTGGGTCTCCAAAGGCACTGCTATGGACTCTCCCTGAAACTTGTGTCTCATGCGGTGATTACACACTCTGAATAATCCACTTTCAGTGCACACTGCAACTGGATTTTAGAAGAAGAGAAGAAGAAGGGATTGAATTTATACCCCTCCCTTCGCTCGGAGTCCCAGAGCAGCTTACACACTTTCCCCCCTCCCCACAACAGACACCCTGTGAGGTAGGCGGGGCTGAAAGAGCTCTGACAGAAACGGCTCTTTTTCAAGGACAGCTCTGAGAGAACTAGGGATTGCCCAAGGTCACCCAGCAGCTGCAAGTGGAGGAGTGGGGAATCGAACCCGGTTCTCCCAGATTAGAGCCTGCGCACTTGACCACAATACCAAACTGTGTGAACTGGCAAAATCCAGTTGGAAAGTGCACTGAAGGTGGATTGAAAGGGAATTATTGGGGCTGCAGCCAGTCACACACACTGAATAATGCACTTTCAATCCACTTTCCAACTGGATTTTGCCAGTTCACACGGGCCCATTCTGCATCTAGCATTCACTCCGTTGTTTTACCAAACCCAGACGGGAACAGAAAAAGAGGTGGCTCAAAGCCACATTGAAATACCCTGGGGCGAATGCTGCACTGACTGCAAAATCACCCCTGAACGGCCATAAATCTATCCAGACAGTACCATAAAACTGAGACATCAAAGAAAGTGAAACTGGCATGCAGTGTGGAGGCTACCATAAAATCTGACAATCAAAGAAAGTGAAAGGGGCATGCGATGTAGAGGGGAATTTCTGTTCGAACGTGGGTTTGGTAAAATAGTGGCGCGAATGCTAGATGCAGAACGAGCCACAGGAAAATCCAGTTGCAAAGTGGATCAAAAGTGGATTATATCGTGTCTGTGACAGCAGCCTTAGATGAGGATAGAACTGCTCACGAGCAGTGTTCCCTCTAAGCTGAGTTCGTGTGAGCTAGCTCACAGTTGATTAGCCTCCGGCTAGGGTTGCCAAGTCCTTACCGTATGTAGGTCCCTGCCACACGGCAGGGAAACGGAGGGCTGATCTGCGGCAAATGTGAACCGCAGCAAAGTTGGGACGGCGCGGCGGGATCTCACAGATCCCCCGAGCCGCGTCGCAACGCTCCCCGGCACGATCAGATGCCGGGGAGAATGCCACGGTGGGAAGGGGAGCCTGGCGAACTGCGCATGCTCACACATGCGCAGTTCGGCCAGGAGCCGGGGATGCGCCGGCGCAAGGACGCGCCGGCGATCCCACGGCCAGCGTTGCTGCGGCCCTTCAGAAAGAACCACCTCGGGAGGTGGTTCTGTTTCGCCGCGGAGCAACGCTGGAAGGGACGGAACTGGGACGGATCCGGCATGCTCCCCAGATGTTGAGGTGGGATCGCGCCGGTTTGCTCCGCCCCCGTTCCGTCCCGCTTCCGGACCAAATGGGCTCGTATGAACAGGGCCGTAGAATGGGGGACTGCAGTGCTGCTCTGGGAGTCCGTGCGCGCGTGCAAAGCGTGCACCGCAATTACATCACCTGGAAGTGACGCAACCACGTCGGGCACGCCGGGGGCGGGGCCCACAATCATCCGAGGGAAAACCATAGGGTTCCCCCCGGGGCCCGATTTGCCGCCGGTGGGTAATGGGCCTCTCAGGTGGGGGTTTCCCCGCCCCCCGGGGGGGACTTGGCAAGCCTACCTCCGGCTCACACTTTTTTGCCTTCGCTCAGGAAGGGGATGGCTCCAGAGCAAACTAATTTATGCAGCAGCCAAACTGTTTGCTCACAGCTTTCATGCCAGTAGCTCACAAAGTGGAATTTTTGCTCACAGGACTCCACAGCTTAGAGGGAGCATTGCTCACAAGTAAGTTGCTGACCTGGAACAGTAAATTCCTGACAAGCACTTCCAATAGGGGTCCCCAACCTTTTTGAGCCTGCAGTGGTCGGGTTGTGAACTCCAGGTTGGGAAATTCTTGGCGATACAGAGAGTGGAACCTGAAGACCACGGGGTTTGGGTTATGGATGGTCCTCCAAAGAGCCCGTCCTCCAAAGCAGCCATTTCCTCCAGATGAGCTGATATCTGTAGTCTGGAGAGCAGTTAGAACAGTGGGGGGAGGTCCCGGCCCCATCCGGAGATTGGCAACCTTACTTGATAGGCACCTTGTGGCCACAACTTCAAAATGGCCACCGTAGAAGGTGGAGCCAGTCACAAAACGGCTACTCCAGCCAGCCAATCAAATCTCCATTGGCCAAGCTGAAATCTTGTTCAGCAAAACCACCACCTGGCTCTGCCCACTTTCTAAAAACACCTGGTGGGACAGGTGTTGGCGAGTGCTATGGTACCCACGGGCACCGAGGGTTGCCAGGTCTGCCAGGTGTGGGAGCTCCTGGAGATTTGGGGATGGAGCCTGAGGGGGGGGGACAGGGACCTCAGTGGGGTACAATGCCAGAGAGGTCAGGCCTCACCTGGAGTCCTGTGTCCAGTTTGGGGCACCACATTTGAGGAAGGCTGTTGACAAGCTCGAGCATGTCCAGAAGAGGGCAACCAGGATGGTGAGAGGGTTGGAATCCAAGTCTTACGAGGAAAGGCTGAAAGAGTCGGGTCTGTTTAGCCTGGGAAAGAGAAGGCTTAGAGGGGACATGACTGCAGTCTTCAAGTATCTGAAGGGCTGCCATGTAGGAGATGGAGCAGATCTATTCTCTCTTGCTCCGGATTGCAAGACTAGATCTAATGGGTGGAAATCACAAGGGAGTTGTTACCGGCTGAATATCAGGAGAAACTTCCTGACTGTCAGAGTGGCTGAGCAGTGGGACAGTCTGCCTCGGGAGGTGGTGGAGGCTCCTTTGCTGGACGTTTTCCAGCGGAGGCTGGACGACCCTCTTTCGGGTATGTTGCAGGGCTATCTTTCGGCTATGCTCCTGCACGGTGCAGGGGGTTGGACTAGATGACCTGCAAGGTCCCTTCCAATGCTAACATTCTATGATTCTATTCTCTCTTGCGCCGGAGTGCAAGACTAGATCTAATGGGTGGAAATCACAAGGGAGTCGATACCGGCTGAATATCAGGAGAAACTTCCTGACTGTCAGAGTGGTTGAGCAGTAGGACAGTCTGCCTCCGAAGGTGGTAGAGGCTCCTTCGCTGGGCGTCTTCAAGCGGAGGCTGGATGACCATCTTTTGGGTATGTTGTAGGGCTATCTTTTGGCTGTGCTCCTGCAGAGTGCAGGGGGTTGGACTAGATGACCTGCAAGGTCCCTTCCAACTCTCACATTCTATGATTCTATGATTCTATTCTCTCTTGCACCGGATTGCAAGACTAGATCTAATGGGTGGAAATCACAAGGGAGTCAATACCGGCTAAATATGAGGAGAAACTTCCTGACTGTCAGAGTGGCTGAGCAGTGGAACAGTCTGCCTTGGGAGGTGGTGGAGGCTCCTTCGCTGGGCGTATTCAAGCGGAGGCTGGACGACCCTCTTTCGGGTATGTTGTAGGGCTATCTTTCGGCTGTGCTTCTGCAGAGTGCAGGGGGTTGGACTAGACGACCTACAAGGTCCCTTCCAACTCTAACATTCTATGATTCTATTCTCTCTTGCTCCGGATATCAAGACTAGATCTAATTGGTGGAAATTACAAGGGAGTCGTGACCGGCTGAATATCAGGAGAAACTTCCTGACTGTAAGAGTGGTTGAGCAGTGGAACAGGCGGCCTCGGGAGGTGGTGGATGCTCCTTCGCTGGACGTTTCCAAGCGGAGGCTGGACGACCCTCTTTCGGGTATGTTGTAGGGCTATCTTTCGGCTGTGCTTCTGCAGAATGCAGGGGGTTGGACTAGATGACCTACAAGGTCCCTTCCAACTCTCACATTCTATGATTCTATGAATCTCCTCTTCTCCAGACTGAACACTCCCAAGTCCCTCAGCCTTTCCTCACAGGGCTTCTTGGTCTCCAGGCCCCCAATAATCCTCGTCGCTCTCCCTTCTCATGAGCTCACTTCTGGGTACAACCAGAACTCATGTCACACGATGCCACACCCTCCAAAGCATCCATTTCCTCCAGGAGAACTGATCTCTGCCGTCTGGAGATGAGCTGTAATTCCGGGGGATCCCCCGGTCCCACCTAGAGCCTGGCGCCCCTAGGAGCACCACACTGGAGAGACCCCGGACTTACGGTTCCCATGTGACCGACTCTTAAGAACTTCAGAACTGAGCTTGGAGCTGCCTGAAAAGACCACGCGTCCAACAGAGAGGGGAAAGGTTTTTTTGAAACGAAAGCTGTGAGGATAGAGAGAAGAAGAGCGACGAGGTTTGGACGGACGAGGATGACGGAAGGAGGGACTCTTCGGCTTCCTCAGCCTGGAGGAAACGATGGTCTTTTTCCCTCCTGGGGACACGAGTATGCTTCTTTCCTCCCGGGCAGCTGGCAAGTCCTTTCGCCTCTCTTCCGTGCACCCGGGCGCGACCCGTCACTGTGGAGGGGCTGGGAAAAGGGGAAATCACAGCCGTAAACATCCACCAAGAGAAGCAGGCCCCCTCCTTCTTAGAATCCTGGGAGTCGGTGAGATCCAGCGAGGCAGGGTAGCCAAATCCAGGTCAGGGAAACCCCAACGGGGATTACGCCAAAGGATACCAAGGCCAGAACTGATGTGGGTGGCCACACGTGGACACACGGAGCTGCCTTGTATGGCATCAGACCCTTGGTCAATCAAGGCCAGTGTTATCTACTCTAAATGGCAGTGGCTCTCCTGGGTCTCAGGCGGAGGTCTTTCCCATCACCTCCTGCCTGGTCCTTTTAAACTGGAGATGCTGGGGATTGAACCTGGGACCTTCTGCATGCCAAGCAGAGGCTCTGCCACCGAGCCACGGCCCCTCTTTACAGCTCTCCAGGGTCTCAGGCGGATGTCTTTCCCATAACCTCCTGCCTGGTCCTTTTTAAACTGGAGATGCTGGTGATTGAACCTGGGACCTTCTGCATGCCAAGCAGAGGCTCTACCGCTAATCCACAGCCCCTCTTTACAGCTCTCCAGGGTGAGGTCTTTCCCATCACCTCCTGCCTGGTCCTTTTAAACTGGAGATGCCGGGGATTGAACCTGGGACCTTCCGCATGCCAAGCAGAGGCTCTTCCACTGAGCCACAGCCCCTCTTTGCAGCTCTCCAGGGTCTCAGGTGGAGGTCTTTCCCATCACCTCCTGCCTGGTCCGTTTTAAACTGAAGATGCTGGGGATTGAACGTGGGACCAAATAGGACCGTAGTTGGCCAATTTGGCCGGATCCAGGGATGTTTTTTTCAAGAGAGGGCGGACCATCGCCTCCTTGAATGTCCCTGGGAACCGTCCCTCCACAAGGGATTTGCTGATAATCTCCCTCAGGGCACCTCGGAACCCCTCGTGGCCGGCTTTGATCAGCCAGGAAGGGCACGGATCAAGGCTGCATGTGGTTGGGCGTACAGTCATGTGCAATCTGTCGACTTCCTCCAGGCCGAGCAGGCCGAAGGAATCCAAAGCCGGAATCGAAGACGTGCAAGGGGCCTCAAGTTCACTCACTGTATCAACTGTGGCGGGGAGGTCACGGCGGAGCGCCAAGACTTTATCCGCGAAAAAGCTCGCAAAAGCCTAACAGCCAATGTCCAATTCCCTAATGTTTGGTCTGCCCTGTGGCACAGCTGTAACGGCCTGGATTGTTCTAAATAACTGAGGTGGGCGTGAGCTTGCGGATGCAATCGTGGCCGCATAGAACTCCTTCTTAGCGGATTTGACTGCCATCTCATACCTTCCCACCGAAGTGGTCCCTATCTTTTGTTGTTCAGTCGCACAGTTGAGTCCGACTCTTCGTGACCCCATGGACAAGATCTCGCCAGGCCCTCCTATTTAATAGGTACCTATAAATAGGTACCGATTTATCTACTTGCAATTTCTTGCTTTTGAACTGCTAATTTGGCAGGAGCTGGAACGAGAGACGGGAGCTCACTCCGTCATGCGGCACACTCGGGTCTCGAACTGCTGAACTACCGACCTTCCACAGCCTGCAGTTCAGCGTCTTAACCACTTGAGCCACCGCAGCTCCTGTAACAGCCTTCTCATAGGATCTCATAAACGTCCAATAAGATGTTCTTGTTGCTTCGTCGCAAGCCCGACGCCACCGTCTCTCTGTCTCAGCTCCCGCTTCATAGGCCGCAACTCCTGGCTGTACCAGGGAGCAGCAAAAAAAAAAAGGGCGGGGGGAGCCAGTGTACAATACAAGAAGCACAAAAAGAAACACCGCTGACTGAAAATAAACAAATATATAATAATCATATAGGTATACAGTAAGTATAATGTAAATCAACTGGCCAAAGTACAGTGATAAGACATAGTCTACAGTCTTTCCATGTGTCTTACTCCAGCATAGAGGCAATATCAAAGTCCAAATTGAAGTTGTTGTTGTTGTTCAGTCGCACAGTCGAGTCCGACTCTTCGCGACCCCATGGGCCAGCTCCCGCCAGGCCTTCCGGTCTTCCGCCGTCCTCTGAGGTTTGCTCAACTTCATGTTTGTTGCATCTGTGACACTGTCTAACCATCTCATCCTTTGCCGTCCCCGTCTTCTTTGACCTTCAATCTTTCCCAGCATCAGGGTCTTCTCTAGTGAGTGCTCCCTTCTCATTGGGTGGCCAAAGTATTTGAGCTTCAGTTTCATTATCTGGCCTTCCAGGGAACAGTCAGGGTTGATTTCTTTTAGGATTGACTGATTTGATCTTCTTGCAGTCCAAGGGACTCTCAAGAGTCTTCTTCAGCACCATAGTTCAAAAGAATCTATTCTTCGGCGCTCGGCCTTCTTTCTAGTCCAACTCTATAGTATTGAAGTACATGTCATCAAATTTTCTGAGCCATAAAAAGCTGACGCGTAATCCCATAATCCTCCTTGACTGATCCTTCAGGCTTTGTATATGCCAGTTTTTTAGATTGGGTTTCATTACAGCCATGCTTGAATAAGAATGATTCGAAACACGACATCAGGCATCCGGATTACGCGTCGGCTTTTTATGGCTCAGTAAGACACATGGAAAGACGGTAGACTATGTCTTATCACTGTACTTTGGCCAACTGATTTACATTATACTTACTGTATACCTATATGATTATTATATATTTGTTTATTTTCAGTCAATGGTGTTTCTTTTTGTGCTTCTTGTACCAGGGAGCAAGCCTAGAGCGAGGGCGCAGAGGGCGCCAGGGAGCGATCTCGTCGATGGCTGCAGATAGTCTGCCATGCCAGTCCTCCACAAGCTCATCCAATGAGCCACCAGGGGGCATCGGATCCTGCAGGGCCATTTGAAGCCACACTAGGTCCATTTGGCTCTGCGGGCGAGCTAAAACTCGCTCACCGCCTAAACCGGGTCGGGGGGGGGAACATTCAGATGAGCCCTCAGGGCATGGTGGCCCGACCGTGGTACTGCCGAAGCGGTAATCCGGTCCACTGTTACCCCAGCCGCGAAGATCAAATCGAGGGTGTGCCCAGCCTGGTGAGTGGGGGTCGTCACCAACTGGGAATACCACTGCATCCAATTTCGTAGGCAAATTTTTCATCTTACTTGTGATGACGATGCAAGAGAAGAGTCACTCACACATGTCTTGTTGGACTGATGGAGCTTCTGTTGTTGCCCCAGGTTGAGACTTGCAAGTTGGGGCAGGTTCTTGCACCGCATCTCCCCCTTTTCTTCCATGTGATTCTCTCCCCCCCCACTTCTTCATGACATAGGTAGCCACATCCGCTGCTGCCTGTTGAACTCTGGGGCTCGGGTCCTCCCGAAGCACTTCAAGAGCTGAAATTTCAGAGGAAGCATGCCTCTATGAGCCACACCCTATGGCTCCTTCCCAGTAGGGAACTGACTGAGCATCAGGTTTTTCTGGAACATTAAGGACATTAAACCAACCCTGCTGGATCGGACCAATGGTCCATCTAGTCCAGCATCGTACCTCACACAGTGGCCAGCCAGTTCCTCTGGAGGGCCAACAACAGGGCAGAGAGGCCGAGGCCTTCATAAGAACATCAGAAGAGCCCTGCTGGATCAGACCAGTGGTCCATCTAGGTCAGGGTCCTGCCTCACATAGTGGCCAACCAGTTCCTTTGAACACAACAGGACGCTGAGGTCTTAATTAAAACATGAGAAGAAACCTGCTGGATCAGACGAGTGGTCCATCTAGTCCAGCATCCCGTCTCACACAGTAGCCAACCAGTTCCTCTGGAGGGCCAATAACAGGGCAGAGAGGCTGAGGCCTTCATAAGAACATAAGAAGAGCCCTGCTGGATCAGACCAGTGGTCCATCTAGTCCAGCGTTCGATCTTACACAGTGGCCAACCAGTTACTCTGGAGGGCCAACAACAGGGCACAGAGGCCAAGGCCTTCATGAGAACATGAGAAGAGCCCTGCTGGATCAGAACAGTGGTCCATCCAGTCCAGCATCCTGTCTCACACAGTGGCTAACCAGTTCCTCTGGAGGGCCAACAACAGGGCACAGAGGCCTTCATAAGAACATAAGAAGAGCCCTGCTGGGTCAGACCAGGGGTCCATCTAGTCCAGCATCCTGTCTCACACTGTGGCCAACCAGTTCCTCTGGAGGGCCAACAACAGGACATTTTCAGTAAATGCATCAAGGTGCTTACTTACAGTCCAGCAATTGTAGCTGAAATGTCTCGTCTATGTCTGACAGCTCCATGCTTTCCAGAATGACTCCTGGCAAAAAAGCAAAATAGCGAAACGGAAGGTCAAGTTGGTGGGGACTTGGTTTGTTTTTGGAGAACAGAAAACCCAGAAGGAAGGAGACGTCCTGAATGGCCTCCTCTCAGGTGGTTGGCTGAGTCACAGCTGAGCCCTGCAGTGTGACAAAAGGGGCTTGACTTGGACCTGGCCGGCAGGAGCTCCACTCTCCCTATTCAGAATCACTGCTGGGAGACATCAGGGGAAGGACTTGGCTTCTGTGCCTATTTTGGGCAACTGGTTGGCTGCAGAGTGAGACAGGATGCTGGACTAGGTGGACCACTGGTCTGATCCAGCAGGGCTCTTCTGATGTTCTCATGAAGGCCTCGGCCTCTCTGCCCTCCTGTTGGCCCTCCAGAGGAACTGGTTGGCCATTGTGAGAGACAGGATGCCGAACTGGATGGACGCTCACTGGTCTGATCCAGGAGGTCTCTTCTGATGTTCTAATGAAGTCCTTGGCCTCTGTGCCCTCTTCCTGGCCATCCAGTATTGATCGAACACTCTTTCTGGGGCAAGAGATGCTCTGTATTCTTGGTGCTTGGGGGGGGCAAGAGTGGGGGGGCTTCTAGAGTCCTGGTCCCCCCTGGTGGACCTCCTGATGGCACCCGGGGTTTGGCCACTGTGTGACACAGAGTGTCGGATTGGATGGGCCACTGGCCTGATCCGGCATGGCTTCTCTTATGTTCTTATGTCTGGAGCAGTGATGCTCTGTCTTCTTGGTGCTTGGGGGTGGGCAAGAGAGGGAGGGCTTCTGGAGTTCTTGCCCTGCCAGTGGACCTCCTGATGGCTCCTGGGTTTTGGCCACTGTGTGACACAGAGGGCTGGACTGGAGGGGCCCCTGACCTGATCCAACATGGCTTCTCTTATGACCTTATGTTCTTTGCTGTTCCAGCATCCCGTTGCACATGGCGACCAACTAGATGATCCCAGAATGCCTGAAGGGAAGGCACGGAGTCCACATCCTCCTCCTATCCCCCCCCCCAAGTTATCCTCTAGAACAGAGGTCCCCAACCTCTTTGAGCCTGTGGGCACCTTCGGAGTTCCGAGACAGGGTGAAGGGTGCAACCACCAAATGGCGGGCAAGGAAGGCAGAGCCAACCCCACCCCCTGGAAGTCCAAGTGCAGGGGGAAAGAAGGAAACTTCAAATAATAAACTGGGAAAGAGGACTGAGACAGAGAATAAAACCAACACGGGGGGCAGGGGATCTGCAACCAAGTCGACGTTATTTTAATCCGCACGGCCCATCAGATCGCCAATGGCCCGTCAGAAGTGGCTCCACCCAATTTCTGATAACACTTGATGGGCAGAAGAGAAGGTGTTGGTGGGCACCCCGATGCCCCTGGGCACCCGGTTGGGGACTCTGGCTCTAGAAGCTCCCCAATGGCTCCTCGTGGCCTAGCACACTCCTAGGGTTGCCAAGTCCATCTTCCACCCCCAGCGGGGGACTTTGGGGGCGTTCCTGGAGGGGGCGGGGCATCTCCAATGTGATGACGTCACGTTGGGGACGTCCGCCGCCCCCCTCCCACCCGCCCGCGCGCCGGATCTCCAGAAACGGCAGTTCCTTGCACTTACAGGAGCCGCCGTTTCCCTTTTAAATGCAGGAGCCGGCGTTTCCCCTTTAAGAGCAGCCGCATTTCCCTTTTAAGAGCATACAAGCCTGATCTCAAGCGGAGATCGGGCTTGGGAGGAAACAGGGGTTCCACACACTTAAAGGGAGAGAGAGGGCTGGCTGTGGGTGGTGGGGGTGGGACTTCCCCTGCCGGCCATCTGGCCGGGGGCGGGTAGAACCCCCCCAAAACGGGGGACCCCTGGCAAACGGGGGGGGGGTTTTTTGGCAACCCTCCACCCCCCCACACCTCGAGTCCCATGAGACTGGCTGCTCTCAACCGGCTACTTCTCCCACCTGACAGGTCCAGGGCCGCCGTCCGGGTCTCCTCCCAGCTGCTTCTGAAATAGGCCGCTGTCTTTTGCAAGATCTCCCCCCTCATCTCCGGGTTGGCCTTGACCTGCAGGGGGCCGCAGATAAAACAGTCACATCCTGCCCTGCGGTGGGCCAAAGGCTGAGATAGAAGAAAATAGATGAAGCTGCCTGAGACTGAATACGGCCATCGGACTCGTCCCTTACGGCTGAGGGCTCAGGTTGCCAGCCTCCAGGAGGGGCCTGGAGATCTCCTGGGATTGAAACTCATCTCCAGGCTGCGGAGGTCAGTTCCCCCTGGAGGAAATGGCTGCTGTGCCGGGTGGACTGTGTGGCACTGGACCATGCTGAGGCCCCTCCCCTCCCTTCCCCCATACCCTGCCCTCCCCAGGCTCCACCCCCCAAATCTCCAGGGATTTCCCAAACTGGAATTGGCAATCCTGTTCAGGGCCCTGATTCTGCCCCCTGCATCGCCAGTTACAAGGACCAGGAAGCCGGTGATGGGAAAGACCTTTCTCTGCCTGAGACCCTGGAGAGCAGCTGCCAGTCTGAGTAGGGAATCACTGACCTTGATGGACCCAGGGTCTAAGGAAGCTTCATGTGTTCTTCTAGCATTATTTGGGGAGGGGCCGTGGCTCAGTGGCTAAGCCCATGCATAGTCTGTGGTTAAAAGGACCACAGACTATGCACGGGCTAGCCAAAGCCCCTCCCTTCCTCGGCCCCCAGTCTTCCCCCTGCACTTGAATGAGCACTCTCTCTCTCTCTCTGGTTGTGGTCACACAGTCATTTTGATCGGGTTTCACCGCTGTTCCCTCTCGCATTTAAAATCGCTGATCAGATGCCCGCATCCATCTCCCCGACCGAAGTGGGCTCACTCGCACGGTCCTCCCGGTTCCCTAGCGAGGTTTCTGACACCGGGAAAATCAAGTACTTTCCGGGTATTTGCACTTTGAATCCACATTTTTGCTGATCTGGACAGCCCTCTTTTCCGCAATGATTGCGGTTAGGTCGTCTGACCGTCCTTCTCCCGGTAGATTTTTTTTTTGCAACTTTCACCATTGTGCGCATATACGCATATGCACATGCGTATATGCGCACACACAAATGATTTCTTTAAAAATTGTTCTGCGCCACCCCTTGGGCACCGCGGCTGTCTGGACGGTGCCTGGAGCATTGCCGCGCAATGAAAGCGGTTGGGCAAGGGATGTGTGATCATCTGAACCCGCTTAAAAATATCCCCGATCAAATCTACAGCGGGAAAAAAATCGTGGTATGCTTGCTGTGTGACCACCCCCTCTCTCTCTCTCTCTCTCTCTCTCTCTCTCTCTCTCTCTCTCTCTCTCTGTATGTCTCACCAGCTGCCTGCAGATATAGACATGCAGATACGGGAGGTCCAAGAGGGTGGCGGGACGAAGCTCATCCAGGCAGGCTCTCAGTTTCCTCTTGGGTAAAAACTGCACCACCTGCAGAAACGCGACTCTGCACGCCTGCAAGACAAAAAGTGTCTTCTCAGACACCCCGGGAAGTTCCTCCAGAGCAGGGGTGGCCAGACTTGCTTAATGCGAGAGCCACGTGGAATAGCTTTCAGATGTCTGAGAGCTGCAAGACATGAACAAATATCACAGACACTTTTTTCCCCTTGAAAATTATGCAAACTTGCTTTTTACTGACGTTAAATGAGACTGCCAGAAATTAAAACAAAAGAGGTAAAAACAGATGTTGATAATAATATTCATTTGGCAAATCATATTTGTTTGCTAATGATATTTGTCTAAAAGAGAGAGAGGTGGAAAGAAAGAATGAAAGAGGTGGAAGGAAAGAGAGAGAAACAAAGAAAGCAATTAGATGGGGGAGGGAGGGGGATGGAAGGAAGGAAGGAAGGAAGGAAGGAAGGAAGGGAGGAAGGAAGGAAGGAAAGGAGGGAGGGAGGGGGAGGGAGAAAGAGAGAAAGAAAGGTGGAAAGAAAGCAAACAGATAGGGAGAGAGGGAGGGAGGGAGGGGGAAAAAGAAAGCAAATAGATGGCTTGGAGAAGGGATTTAAAGAGATAAATGCCTTATCCAAGCCGGCTGGGGGAGGGTTTGAGAATGCTTTTACAGTTGCTTTCTTTCTCTGCTCCCCCCCACACACACCTCAAGCCTATCCAGGGAGGGGAACACTGTGGCTCTACAGTGGGAACAAATCGTGGCACACACCTCAAGCCTACCCAGGGAGTCTGTGGCTCATTGGTAGAGCCTCTGCTTGGCATGCAGAAGGTCCCGGGTTCAGTCCCCGGCATCTCCAGCTAAAAGGACCAGGCAGTAGGTGATGGGAAAGACCTCAGCCTGAGACCCTGGAGAGCAGCTGCCAGTCTGAGTAGGCAATTCTGACCTCGATGGACCATGAGTCTGATTCAGTATTAGGCAGCTTTGTGTGTCTGGGGGGGGGGTGAGGTGGGGGGTGCATGCCTCCATGGCCCTACCAAGATCAGGCTTATGCAATGTCCTCCAGCCAAGAACGAATACATTCCTTTGGTATTCAAGCATGCGCTCCAGGTCGTCATTACCTCCGATGCCTGGGGGCTGGGATCTTGCTGGTGAATCAGGAGCGGCACCAGACTCTTCCTCACTTGGTCAGCAAAAAACACCTGGAATCTGGGTTTGGCCGAGGCCGCCAGGATGCCAAAGAGGCGCAGCGCAGCACAGCGAAGATCGGCATCATCCTGTAGCGGGGCGTGGGGGGGGGGGGGGCCCCCGGGGTGGGGGGGGGGGGAGTCCCACACACAGTGTTTGTTTTCAAATGCTGGTGAAGCACAGACAATTCACATGCATTCAGCGCAGATTCGTAACCATAGGGTAGAGAGGGAGCAACACTACTTAGGTTTAGATGTTACGTGGGCGGGGCTCTTTTCATAGCAGGAACTCCTTTGCATATTAGGCGACACCAGGGGTCATTTTGTAGAAAAAGAGGTGCAGGACCTCATTAGCACAACTCATTTGCACATGCCACACCCCCTGACATCACCGGAAGTGTGTCAGAAGGCAACACCCACCGCTCAGGCGCCACTGGACTGTTTTGGATTGCTAGCTATGGGGGGGGGGGACGTGCAGATCTGTCCTCACAGAGGAGGCAGAGCTTGTACCTGAATAAAACTTGGCCTTAAAG